TACAAAAAATTAGTATAATAGAAAATTTAGTGGATTATGGACAAACGACCGAAACCGATCGCATCGACTAGTCACTAGTCATTAGCACATTTACCGATAAGATAAAAAAAATTCCATAATCATAATAACTTTACGTTATTTATACTATTTATCAATTTACGACTAAAATAACTGTAATCGTAACCGCGAGTCGCGAYCCATGGTTTAGGAAACGCTGGTCTAGATAGTGTGAAGGATGGCTGTGGAAGAATGGTTTATTTTATCTCATTAAATTTGGTGTAAAGTGTTGACCAGGATTGATGCCATTGATTCAGGATATGAGTGTGAGTGGACTGATTTATGTCATGAAATGAGTTCATAGAAAGATGGCGCAAGTCAAAGGAAAATATTGCCWGTTTAACATATTTATCAGCCAATTCGTTTCCAAGAATTCCAACATGACTTGGAATCCAAATCATGGCGATAGTCTGTGTGTTGAGTTTGAGTGAATTTATTTGGTTGTAGATTTTACTGGCTATACTATTTAGTTGAAAGAAGTTTTGGATGCTGGATAGAAGTACTAAGAGAAACACTGAGTATAATAGCTTTTTTTTATTTTTCTTGTTTTATTATATCAAAGGTGTAAGAGATTGCAAGAGCATTATGTATTTTAAATATACCTCTATTGCTTATCTTATATAATGTTATCATAGTAAACAGTATCACTAATCAAACTCTGCGTCTATTATATTTATGTAATGTACACGTACATATATGGATATTATCCTACTGGGGAAACTATCATAATTCATAATTTATAATTTGTAATAAAAACAGCACTTTAGAAAAAKAAGTGGACTGTACCCAAATATTGTCATTAACAGTTGAATATAATGGTCAATAGATACCCACAATTAAAATTAAATTTATTACTAGATTTTTATAATGGTATTTTCTATACATTATTATTTCCTATTTTGTATTTCAAAATTATAAACATTTGTAAATTATTTTGTACCTATTTAAGAATTCAAGCAAATCTTAATATTCCAACCTAAAACTTCAAAATCAAATACAAGATTTCTCATTAGTTAATATATTGTTGAAAACAATTTAAATAAAATATAAGTAGACTTTAGATACTAGATACTTTAAATTGTGAACATTTTTTTTATACATTTGAATTTTAAATTGTAACAAAATTTATCAAAATCATGAACATTTTTGGACATTATTTAGTAATTACAAATTTAAATTTAATTTTTMAAGCTAAGGCTTGATAATTTAATATAAAGTTCCTCACAAGTATTTCATATTGTATGTTATTAAATGTTTTCAACAAAATTTAAATCAACTATTTCTGCGTATTTCTAAAAAGTAAAATATCAGCAATATGAATTATCTTACAATATTCTTATTATTTATTCATATATTAAGGGATCATAACATTATTTTCTTTACTCTCGATCAGCGGYTTAATTAATTACACTTCATATTTAATTTTTTTATATAGGTACTAAAATATTATAAACGACTGGTGCATTTTATAACTAACAACTTTAAACAAAGATACTTATCTTACATCCCACCAATCAGCAATTTAACATTAGGGRCACAGCTTGGCAATTTTATTATCAAAATACAAGAGTAAAAAGTTCTTTTACACYTAACGCAAATGGACATGACCCTAACTGTCAATAAATTACATAATTTATGCAATCGATCGATACACWGCAGTTATTAACAATTGTTATATAGAGACTGAAATATTGTATGCATTTTCATATTCATAATATGCAATACTTCGAGATTTCACACTACTTGCTATTACCTATGTTAAACTTAGCCGAACAAAGATCCTCAAATACTTTATGAATTAGTTCGGTCCCGGTTAACTGAATTACAGGTTTGTCTTTAGTCTTTACTCTTTAAATGGCATCATGATAAATGTAGGTACTCGGTAGCATAAGATTTTACTAAATATAACAATTATGAGTGTAACGAGAACCGTGTGAAATACTTGTAAAAMATTTAACCCACACGATAATATTATAAGCTATTTTATCAATTGACTAATATTTTGTATAAATAATTTTTTAATCAAATTTATAATAACAAGTTTTGTTGATATTATAACTACTAGAAAAACTAAATGGTATTGGGTTTGAATAGATGTCCCCATAAAATCGTCAAAAATAGTAATACGAGTATTGTACCAGGTGGATTATTTTGTTCTAAGCTTTGTGAACATAATATTTAGTCATAAATAGACATCGGCTCACTGTGTAGTAGGCCAGTCCGACCATGAATCAACGTCAACCTATTGTTATCAAATTTTAAAGGTATTAAATTTATAATATCTTCGATCACTTGGATTTTATTTACATTATTTGCATAAACGTTATGTTATGTCACATTGTCTTCGTACCGTTTATATTTTTTTAAACAAAAAAAGTTGGCCGGTAAGTCAAATTAATTTTTTATGAGCATTTGAAATTCAAATWTTTACCACATTGAATATATTCGCCAGTAAATTAACGATTTTCTCATTTTCTTGTAACTTAAAAATGAATAACTGTAAATACTACAAACTTTCAATAAAATTAATTAATTGTACTCACGAGTCACGAATAATATTTCCTAATTACAATGATAAAAACTTTCATGATTTGTATGAATGTTAACAATTTAACTTTTAACCATTTTTTTCTGAATTTTTTTTTTATATTTTCCTGCTGATTTTAATGAAAAGTACCTACTAAGAATTTTTATTTTGGACTCGCGAATCGATATAATTTATTAGATATCAGAAGTTGAAGACCTAAACGTCCTAAACATTTTTTTGCTATTATGCTACCAAAAAAAAAAAAATAATAATAACAATAATTGTCATTCTATGACAAAAATTCCAAAAGTTAGTATTGGAATATAGAATTTTTTCAGAGCATATATTTTGTTAGTAACTTTTGGGTCATATCGCATATAATACTCTACCCTAACTATATAATTATAGGTATTTTTTTGACGAGAAAAAGATTTCTTGCTGGGTCCGGAAATTGGAACTATTCAATTTTTTTAAACTAAAGAAACAATTCGAAACAAGAATGTCATCAGTAATCTACTCCTCACAGTTATCCTTAACAATTTAATAATATGTGGTCAAAAATAATGGACCCCCCAAGTATTATCCCGGGCTCGAGTTTCTATATTATTGTTGAATTGTGATAACAGCGAYGGACGAGTGACAACAGTCAACAGTGTACCGTCCAGCATAATCCAGAAACTATTTAAGCTTTATATCTATAAACGGGACTCTAATTAATATTATAGTCCATTGTTAATAAAAAAAGGAAAGTAAACATGCGCACACGTAACAACTGTAAACAATTTTTATTATTTTTAAATATARTATTGGTTTTACTAAAAATTAATTTAATTTACTACAACAATAACTTTTTCCCAATTTGAAAAATATTTGAATGGTTATTCAGTGTGTGCTTAAGCAAATTTAGCACATCCCATAGATCTTCCTATGATAATAATATATTATTTATAATAACGGTATTCTCCCCCCCCTCACCATTACCCGTAAACTATAATAATATATGAGTATAAAACACATATAGACATCATATCATACAATATATATATAAGTATATGGATATGTTTATCTATACAAACTTATATTATATATAATGTATTTCTTTAAAAATATATTATTTGTTATGTGTTTTAAAGTAAAATGCACTGCGTACTATGTTTGGAAGTCCGTCTCGTCGCCTTCACTGTGGCAACGAAAACATCACGGACTCCTTCCTTGGTCTTCGAAGAACATTCTAAAAACGCGAAAGCTTTGATATCGTCAGCCACTGATTGACCGATCTCTGTGGTAGTCATGACATTATGTTCCGGTATCCGAATGGTAGTTTTTCTTGGCATGTCCTCATTGTGGTTTTCTGCGATGGCTACAGAGTTTTCTGGTTCAAGCCTGGTAATCTTTTTTTGGCCACTTTCCGATTCATTAAAGTTTTCTTGTCTTGCTACTACCATGCCAGAGTAGCCATCCAATTTTTCGTGTACTGGCAGCCCTTCAACCGTTTCCGTTTTATGTGGTTTCCTGTCCGATTGCAGTGTGGATTTCTCGTTCATCGAAAACCTGCACACTTCGATCTCATCCTGCAGATCAATACTTGTCACCGTTTCGTTTTCAGTAATCGTTTGTTCAATAGTGACTTCAGTTACGTTGCATTTTTTTTGGTCAGACTTGGGTAGATCCACAGACCTATCTAGGTCTATGGATAGATCATTGTCCTGCTGATGACTATCCCGAAGGTCCTTCTTATTGCCAACCAATATCACCGGCACTTCCTTGCAAAAATACCGCACTTCCGGCACCCATTTATCGATTATGTTGATCAACGATTTGGGATTATCGATTGAATAGCATAGGATCACTACATCTGCTTCCCCGTATGACAGTGGTCGCAGTCTGTCGTAATCTTCTTGACCAGCAGTGTCCCACAAGTCAAGCGCTACTTTTTTTCCTTCAACTTCGATCACGGTTGAATAGTAGTCAAACACCGTTGGCACGTATACTTCTGGGAAAATATCCTCAAAAAACACGCGCAAAAGGCACGTCTTACCACTCTCACCATCGCCGACGATCACCACTTTCTTTTTAGCGGGAGACATATTTTCCTATACACAAAAACACATATAACACGAATTTTAGATCCGTAGGTACATTTTGTTTATATATTTTTCTGAACCTCAGTAACATGGGTCATTGGGCGTATGACCCAATAATGAATGATATTATTGAGACAACGAAGAGCGGGTGTTTACTAATTCCCCTAAATGGCTGTTTTGAGTATTTTAAGAATGTACCAGCCACTATCATGTTTCTTCGACCAAATGTACCGGTAGTGAGTTGTCCTCACAAATTATTTACGATTGTAACATCAACACGTAAAATAGGAAAATATGTAAATAATTAATACTATATATTAGTATTATAGTTTAATGTATAATAAGTACGGCTCGGATGTTGTTGCACTAAAAATGTTATAAAATTGATTGCATTATTGCTGTGAAAAAAACCCAAAATTGCACTTGAAAATTATAATAAAAAATATTTTGTACCAAAAAAATAAAAATATATATATTAACAAATTATTTTATGAAATGGATTAAAAGTCATTTTATTAAGTAACATTATAAAGTTTTATTAGATAGCTTTTAAACGAGTAGATAATAAAAAGATTCAAATACAAATTCTCGTTAGTTGTCATTAAAAATCTTGTAAATTGTGCGGTCTTCTTATTTTTCAGAAATCTACAAATAATTTTATCAAAATTTWAAACTTTTTATTTAAACTATTTTTGATTTGTTTTTTTAAAAAAACCTTACCTTACCTTAAAAATTATTCCGCTGTATAATCTAGGTAACAAAAAAAAAGTGAAAACATAAGAAAATATATAAAATTGTATTGAAAATGGCGACAATCAACAAAATTACAATAAAATTGAAAAAAGGTCAAAAAGTTGCACTTAAAATGTTTATATATTAATTGGTACTCGTTTGAAATAAATTTATAACTTACTTAGTACCTATAACGAATCCGAACAATAGAAAAAAAAATTGCAAATGCAACAACGTCCGAGCCCTAATAATAAGTATTATTAATACGCAATATATATTTTGTGTTGACAAATTTATTATACTGTAGGTATGTGTATGCCCCTTAAAAATATAATTCCTTATTGTGTTTATTCTTTTGTTAAAAAATATTATTATTTACACCTTCCCTATTTTACAGGACGGTATTATAATCGTGTATATAATAATACGGTGAGGGCAACTGGTGCATTTTTTTTATTATTAGTTTGAGCGGGGGATTAGTAAAAAAGGTACTTTAATTTTTTACTTTTGACTATAGCCAAAATACCAACAAAATTTACTCTCTTACCAGAAAAGGTGCTATTGAACAAAATCAAAGCAATTTTACTACTCCGAAAGTTAATGATAGGAAGCAACAAAAAAACACCAACATATTTGTAAAATCATCACATTCCATCAATCCACCAGAATTTAAAACTTTAATATAGCTAGGTACAAGATTCAACGGTTTCATAAATTGAATAATAATTAAATTAAGTGCATAAAATATAAATCGATAGGAGTATAGGACAACTCAATTTCTTTGCAAATCATAATAAACATATTATACTAAATATTTGTCATTATTGAACACATTTCACTGGAATTTTAAGACTTCCCAAATTATCTACAGTGACGTTCAAATGATTTTAACAAAGAGGACCTTTTTAAACCTTAAACCCCCTTTTTAAACATGCATTATTTGATTATCAAAAATACCACGTTCGTAGTCAATTACTACTGTAACAGTAGGTACTATTTTCAATAGTTTTAAATGAAACTAGAAATGTGACTGACCTGCTAAATGTTCGAGCACAAATAAATATAATAATAATAATAAATATCTTTTTATGCTACAGCAGTAATTTAAAAGTGATTCTCTGAGGTGAACTTGAATAACATTAAAAAGTGAAGTGAYCACGACGGCACGACTGTGATATAATTTATGGTTTTCAGATCTTAAACATTGAAAAAAAGGTAATGGGGAATATATACCTCTCGTCCTCCCTGTTTCACCACCACTGGTTGTCTACATAATACCTATAACTTAATACCTAAATTACCAACCTTCAACTCAATATTTTCTTGATACTATGATAAATCTTGATCAGATTATTTAGCTACATCTATATCTTGTCAACAAGCGCTGGTCCAGGAACACAACAAATATAGTTAAATAAATAGTTATGCGAGAAGTTGGTTATAAATACACTATTTTATCTCAGAACCAAGTAAAAATAAAAATGATTGATGTCTTGTTTATTTTATAATTATGAGGGCATGTAATAATAAGTTGATTGTTAAGTGAAACAATGATAGTAAAAATTCAAAAATTATTTTATTGTAAATAGAAATTATAATTTATGGATTACGCCATAGAATACCCGCGCGTTTGTGTAGTGAAAATTGCAGTGCACGTAACTCTCCAATTATCGGAAATGATTTATGTAATCCATAATATAAAATAATATGTGTTCAATAATTTATTGTATAAAATTTATACCAATATTAAGTTTTATTAATAAATGTATTGAACATAGTTTAATACACATTTGAACATGTCGAACACGACAAAGAGTTGTGACACTGTGACAGGTGACTCCTAACATTTTGTAACTGACCAATAAGTTAATCCCCAATGTGAAGGTCCAATTTTGTCAGTTGTTACAAATAAAACTAATAGTTTTTATAAAATATGTGATAAAAAAAATTATAGGAAATATAATTATTATTATGTAAGTAACAGGTACAGTTTGAGATATACTGAATGTCTGAATATACTATAAAGTATATATATGTATATACATATAATATACAGTAGGTATATTTCATGCTATGAGTACATTATGCATTTACAATATGTGTGTAAAAATCATTTTGTAATCATTTAGTAATAAAACTTGTTTTGAATTTGTTATTACTATCTGTATACATATCTGTAATATATTTGTATTTGAAGTTTTGTAGATAATTCAAATTCAAAATACTATTTAGGTATTAAATTAAATAAATACAGATATAAATACCTATTATGAATAACAAAGGCCACTAAATGTTGATAGTTAGCCTGCAGACATGAAATTTATTTTTTAAATTACTTTTTTTGAAAGTGAGAATGTGAGTTAAATGAGATTTTAATAAATTTTAATTTATTTTTATGATTTACTTTCTAATAAGCATGGAAATATAATGTTTGTGTCCCCTTAACATTAATTGGTAATCCCCGGTGTATTATATCAATAATACACAAATTAGAGGTTGACAATTATTTGTATTCAGACAAATAAGTATAAATGACTGTTTTATATATACTTATAAATGTTATTTATTAAAGCTCAAATAACAACAAAATATTTATTCATACTTCAATCAATAATCAATATAATACATTTAAAAATTGTACTTAGCATTATTATTCATTAACAAAAAATGTTGGTATTTTTCTTATTTTTATTTTTTTCATATTCTTGGAGACCTGTATGTTTTAGAGGCATGCCTTTTAATATTTGAGAGTTTGATTCAATTATCTGAAAATAAAATTGAATTAAAACATAATACAATTATTTTAATAATTTACCATAGGTACATTATATATATTATTGTTAATTGTTATATCTAGTAATCATAATATTATAATATTAAGTACTAACCTTTACTGTAATATAATCACCAGGTTTAATTTCTTGATTTAATGATGATTCTTCAAGAGGTAATTTAGTATTTGGAATAATAACTTTTATGTTTCCATCTGTTTTCCCGCATAAATCAGATGGGCCTCTACGACTTTTCTAAATTAAGCATATTTATGATTATGTTGATAGTTATAGCTTATGTATAGTTATGACAAATGTAAAATTAGAAATACTATAAACTTGAGTCTATAATCAATAGTTTTAATTTCTATCTATCTACATTTTATAAACAAATTAAATTCAAACGCTTTTAGGGTTGAACTATGTAGATTAAAAAAAAAACCAAAAAATATGGTTAGAATAATGAAACAAGTATAATAACTAATAAGTATTCGAACTAATCAGAAGCCTGAACAATTCTTTTGTTTGTGATCTAAATATTTAGTTTAATATTTTAATTAATAATATGAAAACAATTCTTTTTGAATCATAGGTTAAAACCAACAAAAAAATAATAAAATACATTTTCAGATAGTTGGAGTAATTTATAGTTCAAGTCCTTTCTTGGTAAAGTCGAATCATTAATCATATATTTTCACTTTAAGTATAATCTAACTCAAGCTAGAGAAATACAACCAAACTTATGACAGTTGAAACTAGAATATAACATAAGAATTTTTTAATATTTGTAATTTTAAATAAGCACTAATTTCTTAATTGATTAAAATTAACTTACACCTTCAACCAATACAAGCTGTTCAGTATTAACAAATTGTTTATTTAAAATTTCTGCATCTCTTCTAAATACACTAAACATCTTTTTTACTCTTTCTACTTTAATTTCATGTGGAACGTCATCTTTATAACGACGATATGCTGTTGTTTTCTGGAACATATTATAACATAAAAAAAATTATAGCTTCAGATTGTTCTCCAATCCTTTCAGTCTATTAGTCTCCGTCTCCTGACAAATGCACCTTGGTATGTTAGTAATCATACAATCCATAATGACCTGAACATTTCAAATCTTCACACCCTCGCTTCAACACACTATAAAAATTTTCATTCTAAAACAAATAATCATCATAACCCGCTAATTTCTAATCTCTCCTCTAAGACTCTCCCGGATAACCCTCCCCATCGACTAAAACAAAATTGGAATCGTGATTTACTTCGCTAAATAAAAAAATAAAAAATAAAACAAGTTTGAAGTAGTGTCAATGGACACACCCTTCAGTCAAGCCTCCAAACCTGGTAAAATATCTCATATTTACATATTGTTTTATCATGCTACAGATTGTAAATATATTTATATTATAAAATAAAAAAAGCTTCAGATTGTTCATATATATAATATTATGGTTGGCATAAATATAGACCTCGCCTAACCTAAATTGTTCT